CCCGGGACCGGCCCTCCCCCGCCGGGACCGCCCCTCCGCCCCTCCGCCCCTCCCCCGCCGGGACCGCCCCTCCCCCGCCGCGGGTCGGTTGGCTTGTGGTCCTTGTTGAAACGATGAGGACGCAGCGCCACCTCCCCAGGAAACGGCGCTGAAGGACACAGCCTGCCAGCGGCCACTTTCTGACTTTTCTTTGTTTTTATCTTTTGGTCGGTGGTGGGTCTCGAACCCTGGGCCTGAGCACGGGCGCTCCACCGCTCGAGCCACTGCGCCACTTCCGGCTCTCTGGTGGTTTATTGGGGTTAAGAGTCTCGGGGACTTTCCTGCCCGGGCTGGCTTTGAACCTCGATCCTCAGAGCTCAGCCTCCTGAGCAGCTGGGATGACAGGCGGGAGCCACCGCGCCCGGCTTTTCTGTTTGGTGGTTTGGGACCTGGGCCAACCCCAGGTACAGGGCTCCCCCTCCCCCTCCCTCGTGCCCCCCTCCCCCTGTTCTTCCCCCCTCCTCCCCCCCTCCGGGTGGGCACCTGGTGAGAAGAGGAGAAGGGGACCCTGGGCCGGGCTGGAGCCCGCGGCCCCGCCGCAGCTGCTGCCCGGCCCCGGCCTGCTCCTGAAGGGTTACAGTTTTGAGGCTGTGACCACTTGATGCTTGTTTCTAGCAGAGCAACACGTGGTGGTGATCCAAACACCTGGCTGGTTGTGTGCCTTTATAACCCCTGCGAATCCTTAGCTCGGGGCTCTCCTCCTGGGCTGCGCCGTGTCCCGAGTGGCAGCCCGTCTAAATCAAACCTAAAGCAGCTGTAGAGCCTGACTCTCCGTGGTCTTCTTGGTGGGGGTCCTGCGACCTAGGCACACTGCTTCCCTGTCCCCGACGTACCTCACCTGGCCGCCTCTCTCCGGGCCTGGCTCCCCTGCTCCCCACCCCGCTGCGGGGCTCTCGGGGACCCTGTGTTCTGGCAATTTCCTTGGCTTCCGTGTTTGGTGCCATGGACCGGCAGAATCTGTGCGGCAAAGCTTTGTTCCCAGGCTCCAGATGGTGCCAACAGTCTGGTGAACAAACTGGGTGACATGTCCTCCCATCCTCCCCTTCGCGTTGGAACCCCAGGTTCCCCCCACGGCCCACAGAGCAGGGCCTGGGGGAGGGGCCTCTTCCCTAAGCCAACTGCTCTCCCTGGGGACCCATCAGACTGGGGATAGAAGTCAGAGGGGAGGGTGTGCGTGGGAGTGTGTCAACTCTCCCCCACCGTCTCACTCAAAAATTTTCTCTTAGGGGCCGGGCACCGGTGGCTCACGCCTGTCATCACAGCTGCTCAGGAGACTGAGATCTGAGGATCTCGGTTCAAAGCCAGCATGGGCAGGAAAGTCTGTGAGGCTCTTATCTCTAAGGAATCACCAGAAAACCAGAAGTGGCGCTGTGGCTCAAGTGATAAAGCACTAGCCGTGAGCTGAAGAGTTGAGGGACAGCGCCCCGGCCCCGAGTTCAAGTCCCATGACAGACCAAAATAAAATTATCTTAGGGGTCCCACAGAGTGAACAAAATGAAAAAGTCAATACCTCTAGCCCAGAGCTGGTGATTCACGCCTGTAATCCTAGCTACTCCGAAGGTTAAGATCTGAGGATGGTAGTTCAAAGCCACTGGGGCAGAAAAGCCCAGGAGTCCCATCTACAATTAATCACCGTAAAAACCCGAAGCGCACTGCTGCTCAAATGGTAGAGTGCTAGCCTTGAGCCAGGAGCTTAGGGACAGAGCCCAGGCCCAGAGTTCAAGCCCCAGGATCACCAAAAAGAAAGGCCACTTGACTGGAAAAGGCCATGGGGCCCCTGCTTACTAAATAGGTGTTCTACTACAGAGTCATGCACCCAGCCTGGCTTTTTGCTGGTTAACTGGAGATGGAGCCTCCAGGATTTTCTTTGCCTGGCTGACTTATGCCTTGATGGTCCAGATCTCAGCCTCCTGAGTAGCAATTTTGTCCTTGGGAGACAGTCCTGCTGGCAGCGCAGGCTGGCCTGGGTCTCCTGCCCTCTCGTGTCCATCTCCCCAGGTGTGGCCTCCACCCTGGACTGCCCTGGCATTCTCGATGCTTCTCCATGCGGCAGGACACCGGTATATGGGACTCAGCCTCTGCTACCATTCTAGGTCTCCAGACTCAGAGTGCCTTGGTTTGTAGGGTGAGGCTGAGGCCCTCACGTGGCCCTGGCCTGCCAGAAGCGGCTGGTCAGGGTTCAAGCAGAAGAGATGGGGTGGGGTGGGGGGTCCAAAGAGGTGGACATGGGAAAGGCTCCGTGGAGGAGGGGCTCGGGCCTGGCTGTGGCTGTGGTTGGACGCACTTAGGGTGTGGCTTGGAGGGAGTCAGGGGCGGCCGAGAGTGACCTGGGGGGGATGCCCGCTGCCGGGAGGGAGGTGGGGCAAGGCCCCC